TGGGGCCTATCCCACCAATTGGTCAGGGCGGACCGACACTAGGCCGAGAAGCTCTGGCCTCTTTGCGCGTAAATCTTTCATCCTCGACAACTTGCGCCAGCCACTTTTCAGACGCGCTGCCCTACAACGGCGCGCATCACGTTCAACAAGCTCATACACCGCTCTTGATTGATCGTCGTCTGTTTCTCAACCCTACCCGCCTGTCTTCAGATATCGACCCGACAGTGATACCTGGGCCAGCGCCCGCCCATTGCCCACCATGACGAGCTTCTCTTCCATGTCTCTGTACGCCTTGACGGTGAAGCAGCCGACAGCGACACAGGACGCCATTTCCGGTGACTTTCTCGGAAACGGCAAGCAGCAGATTCTCACAGCGAGCGGCTCACGACTGGCTATCCTCGAGGTCTCGCGGCGACAGAAGGGCTTCCAAGAGCTGTACTCGCAGGATGTGTTTGGCATCATTCGTCGTATAGCCAAGTTCAGGATCGCAGGCGGCACCAAAGGTATGTTCGTCCATCTTCCCCGCTACAAGCAGTATAGTGATTTTCAAAGCACACGACACCCTCGAGCTCCCAGCTCCCTGAGCCCACGGTGGACTGGACTGCAAACACTAAGAACCTCTACTGACTCCGTCAGACCATATTGTCATAACCACCGACTCTGGACGGTTAGTCACATATGAGTACATGCCAGATGAGCACACCTTCAAGACCGTTCACTTCGAGACGTTTGGCAAGTCTGGAATACGACGCGTAGTGCCGGGCGAGTATCTAGCAGCCGACCCGAAAGGGCGCGCTATCATGATCGCCTCGACGGAGAAGAACAAGCTTGTCTACATTCTTACCCGAAGTGGCCAGACGGATATCGCCATCTCCTCACCGCTAGAGGCACACAAGCCGCAGACGTTAGTGTACTGTCTTATTGGACTTGATGTTGGATATGACAATCCCATGTTCGCTACGTTGGAGGTAGATTACTCCAACTCGGAGACTGACCCTACTGGTGAAGCCTACGAAGAGATCAAGAAGGAGTTGGTATACTACGAGCTGGACCTTGGTCTCAACCATATCGTGCGGAAGTGGTCGGAGCCAGTTGACCGTACCGCTAATACCCTCTTCCGGGTACCTGGAGGACCAAACGCTCCGAGCGGTGTTCTATGCTGTGGAGAGGATTGCATCACATACCGCCGCATCTTCAACAACAAGTCAAGTGTGCACCGACTGGCCATTCCACGCCGTGAGGGAGCCACCGAAGACCCAAATCGCAAGCGCATGATCGTTGCTGGTACTCTATACTCTCTCAAAGGCGGTGATTTCTTCTACCTCCTACAAACAGAGGACGGTGATGTCTTCAAGCTTACTGTAGAAGCCACCAGCGGTACTGTCGACAAGATCAAGATCAAATACTTTGATACCATCCCCGTCGCGACGAGCATTTGCATTCTGAGGGCAGGCTTCGTGTACGCTGCCTGCGAATCTGGAGACCGCATCTTGTATGAACTGGAGTCTTTGGGAGACGAGACGGAAGATCCCGTTTTCGAGAGCGATCAATTCCCTGTCGACCCTGAGACTTCTTTCGCACCTCCCTTCTTCAAGCCTCGGGCGCTTGTCAACCTCACTGCAGTTGAGACGATGCCCAGTCTCAACCCGATTATGGGCATGGAAGTTGCCAACCCTGCGCTGGAGGACGCGCCCCAAGTTTACACGATCAACGGTGCCGGTGGCCGGAGTTCATTCCGCACCACCAGGAACGCGCTGGAGGTTCTGGATCTTATTGAGTCGCCTTTGCCGCAGAACGCTTCCGACGTCTGGACTACGAAGCTGACCAGCGAAGACGAAACTGATACACTTATCGTCATGTGTCTTCACAGCAGAACGCTCGTTCTCAAAATTGGCGACGACGTCGAGGAGGCTGCGAATACCGGCTTTCTTCCAGACACCAACACGCTTGGTGTACAACAGTTCGGTGAAGACTGTATCATCCAGATCCATCCTAAGGGTATCCGTCACATCCAGGGCATCCAGTTCCCTAACGACGATGCAAGTGCGACGCACGCTAGTTTGACTGACTGGCAACCCCCTGCGCATCGCACTATCGTAGCTTGTGCCACGAACAACCGACAAGTTGCTATAGCGCTAAGTTCCGGCCAAATCCTGTACTTTGAATGCGATGCAGATGGATCGCTTGCCATGGCTGAGGAGGAGATTGCTTTAGACAGCACTATCAACTGTCTTGCAATGCCCGATGTACCCGAGGGTAGTGTGCGAGCTTTCTTCTTGGCTGTCGGGTGCAGTGACCAGACTGTCAGGATCTTCAACTTGAGTCCTGACATGGAAGGAAACATCCTGCGAAGTATCTCTGTTCAGGCCCTCACCTCACCGCCTAGTGACTTGACCATCAACCTCATGACGGACAAGTCTCCTCGTGGATACAGTCAGTTCTTGCACATCGGTCTACGAAGTGGTGTATACATCAGATCGGTACTAGATGAGATGACTGGCGACATTGGCGACACTCGAAGACGCTTCCTTGGGCCAGAGCCTATCAAGTTCGCGAAGGTGACTGTTGCCGGCGAACCTGCTATTATTGCAATGACCTCAAGGCCATGGCTAGGTTACACCCATCCTCGTACCGGAGTGTTGCAACTGACACCGCTGAACTACATTCCATTCAAGTCCGCGTGGAACTTTGATGGTTCCCAATTCAAGGGAATCATCTGCGTCAGCGGCAACGAGCTACGGTAAGCACCTTCCATCTCTTTCCCCCAACTGCAATGATGAAACTCTGTACTCCCTAAACACGATGAGGGCAATAACAAATTTCCAATTGTTCCTACTGAAAGCAGTTATCAATTCGTTCTTGTTACATACACAACATGCGCGATTAGTTGCTGACCACAACAGAATCTTCACCTTCAATGACCTAACGGACAATACGACTTACGAGAACATACCACTCAAGTACACCCCAAGGAAGATGGTCGGATGGCACGACCAGGGTGTGTTCTACGTAATCGAGAGCGACAACAACACTATAAGTGCCGACAGACGCCAACAGCTTATCGCACACGCCGGTGTCAAGAAGGAGGATGACGGCACCAACGGCTCGATGGAAGTCGAGAACGCCAACGGTGGTGCAACGAATGGCACCGACGATAGCGACGAGCTTCCAGCAGTCGACTTTGGTTACCCAAGAGCTCAGGGCAGCTGGGCTTCTTGTATCCAAGTTGTCGATCCTGTGAGCGAAAAGACTGTCACCCACACTGTAGAGCTCAATGGCAACCAGTCACTTGTCAGCGCCGCCTTGGTATTCTTCGAGAGCCGTGGTGAGGAAGCATTCTTGGTTGTTGGCACTGCCAAAGACTTGAGCTTCACCCCTTTCAAATACACATCTGCTTCTATCCAGGTGTACAAGATCAACCCCACTGGTCGTGAGCTGGAGTTCTTCCATGAGACTGAGGTCAGCGACCCGCCTTTAGCGCTACTTGCATTCAAAGGAAAGCTCATTGCTGGTGTCGGTCGCCATCTGTGTCTCTACGACTGCGGTATGAAGTCTGTCCTACGCAAAGCACAGGCGCCGAACTGTGTACCGACGCGCATCACCGATCTCAAGACGCAAGGCAGCCGACTGGTTGTTTCCGATCAGGCGCAGTCAGTAACGTATGTCGTACACAAAGACCAGGTCCACCCCAATCGCCTGATTCCCTTTGTGGATGACACCATTGCCCGCCACACCTCCGCATCAGAGATGCTGGACTACGACACCACAGTTGGTGGTGATAAGTTCGGCAATATCTGGCTTGTGCGCTGCCCACAGAAGGTCTCCGAGTCTTCTGACGAGTCGCCTGATGGTTCCGATCTCCTAGTAGATAAGGGCTACTTGGGTGGTACACCGAACCGCCTCGACCTCATCGCACACTACTTTACGAACGACATTCCTGTCTCTATCCAGAAGACTGTCCTACTATCAGGCGGTGAACGCATCATCTTCTGGGCTGGTCTCCAGGGTACTCTTGGTGCACTTATCCCCTTCAATTCCCGCCGACAGCACAAGATGTTCCAACAACTGGAGCTACAACTTCGGTCAGACGACAAGCCACTGTCGGGTCGCGATCATCTCGCCTTCCGCAGCTACTTCGCGCCGGTCAAGAGCGTGATCGATGGTGATCTCATTGAGCGCTTCTTGGTACTATCGCGCGACAAACGAGAGAGCATCGCTGGCCAGATGACAGGTGCAGAATGGACACCCAGTATGATTGATGAGGCGATTTGGAACATGAGAGGTCTTTATGCTTTTTAGATGAAGCGTATCCTCTACACACTACGGCGTTTGGATAGTTCGGGCCTTGAAGAGCAGTCGGCGCTTTTGTCCTGCGCTTGTAGCGTCTTTGATGAATAAGTAGCAGTAACTTGTATTTGTAAACAGGAATGTGGGTCATAATAGACTCAAATGATACCCAAGAATCGTCTTCAGCTATCTTCGAACATGGTTGTCTGCACGTGGTTAGCCTTGCTATCAAGACCTGGTTTGCGGTGTTCTATACCTTGCTTCTGTCACTAATAACACCCGCACTTATATGAACAGCAATAACAACCGCGGCACCGGCTGAACTCTACGTCATCACGTCGACATACGAAAGTTAAACCTCGCCAACACAAGACGGAGAAATTATCTCCACGCAGATCTACAAGTTTGCGGGGAAGAAGTGGGGCAAGTCATATCGATCCTGGCTCGGAGAGCCGCCGTCGGGTAGATTTGCGAGTGCGAATACGAATTGACTTGCTCTTCTCAGAAATACCCCGAAGAGAACAGCTAGGGAACAGCTGGTAATACGCACGACCCATGTTACAACGAGAAGCTCGGAGACAGGGACAGTAGCATTCGGTTGAGGTCCGGGAAGCTAACGGAGCTAGGGTAGGAGACTATGTAAAAGGACGACACCGCACATGTTCAGGTACTACTAGGTTTGGAAATAGCTGCTACTGGCTATTTTGCACGACATGAAGCTGTATAGCTCGCTCGCTCTTGTTCCTTTGATTTATCAAGGCTATGCGCTCGACGTCGAAGCTATAGTGAACAAATACTACGGCAATGATGCAGCATGGTACCGCGACCGGATCCCTCTCTTCGACTCTAGCGATCCAGATATCACCGACGTCTACTACTACCGGTGGTCCATTTTCCGCGCACACCAACGCGACCTAGGCTCCAATGGGTACATTTCCACCGAGTTTCTTGACGATGTTGGGTGGCAGACTATGCCTTGGGCAAGTCTGAACGATGCAACCGGCTTCCATCTCTTAGAGGGGCGGTGGTGTCGCGACCGACGGTTCAAAGAAGATTACGCGACATTCATGTATAGCAGCAACAGTAACAGTCGGCAATTTTCTGAAAGCATGGCTGCAGCTGTTTGGCAAGGGTATCTTGTTGATGGTGTGGTAGAGGACGTGGTTAAGCGGCTTGACGACATGACGAGAGTGTATGATGCGTGGGGTGATTCCTACGATGAGGATAAAGGGCTGTATTACGTTGAGCCCATCCGGGATGCTACGGAGTATACGATCTCCAGTATAGATTCCTCAGGTGGCTATGATGGCTTCTTCGGCGGCGACTCATTCCGCCCTAGCATAAACAGCTACCAGTACGCTAACGCCCTCGCAATCGCCAACATGGCGTCCTTGAAAGGTGGTTTGGAAAGCACCGTCGACACCTACAATTCTCGCGCCACTGCCATCAAAACGCGCGTACAGGACGCCCTCTGGAACTCAACCTTTGACCATTTCATCGATCGCTATCAAGTTAACAACACAAACGTCACATACTGGGATCCCATTCGCGGCCGCGAACTGGTCGGTATGGTCCCTTGGACCCACGATCTCCCCGACGATACCACAACCTACGCACAAGCTTGGTCGCACATTCTTAACAGTAGTGAGCTGGCCGGAGAACACGGTCTGCGTACCGTAGAGCCTTCTTACGAGTACTATATGCGACAGTACCGCTACGAAGGCCCGAACCCGGAGTGTCAGTGGAATGGCCCTGTTTGGCCTTTCCAGATGACTCAAGTTCTATCCGGACTCGCCAATTTCCTGGATCATTATGCTGAGGGAAGAAACACGGATGTTATTAACACTGATGACTATACAAACTTGCTAAGGCAATATGCTCAGTTGCATCGGAACCCCGATACTGGCATTCTGGATCTGGAAGAAGACTACTACCCTGACACGGGATTACCGATCGTAGGACTCAAGCGGAGTCATCATTACTTCCACTCTGGCTTCAACGACCTCGTCCTATCGGGTCTTGTTGGAATCCGTCCCTCAGCCAACGACACGCTGGAAGTTTCTCCCCTGGCCTCTTCAGCGCAGATGAAATATTTCCGCGCAGAACGTATCATATACCACGGTCATGAAATCGCCGTTCAATGGGATGCCGACGGTTCGCACTACGACGCCACAGGCCTGCAAGTTGAGGTCGATGGCGAGGTAGTTGCTTCATCTCCCACGCTCTCTCGTCTCTCAGTCGACCTGGAACGAAAAGCACCACCAGCTATTACCCGCCGAATCGCACAGTCAATCCAACTCAACGCTACAACGGCGTTTCCACGCGGTACAACATCCGTCGGTAACACTACTCAAGCATCTGCATATCCTGCTATCGACGGTCGGATATGGTTTTACCCCGAGCAAGATGCTAAGAATGGGTGGGATACACCAGTCGGCAATGGAAGTACAGTCTGGTTCCAAATTGATTTTGGCAAAACGGTCAGCATAAGTGCGGCTGAACTTGCATTCTTCGCGAACGAAGAGCAGGGTTTTGCGGAGCCAACGGATTATAAGATCCAGGTGCCTAGTAGCGGGGACAGGGGTGAATGGAGTGATGTCGAAGGCGCGACCTATGGCGATGTTGTCGCGAATGGTATTACGAGTATAGAGTGGAAGGAAGTTGAGGGAGAGCAAGTGAGAGTTATCTTTACGCCGAAGGTGGGCAGTAAGGTTAGAATTGCGGAATTCAAGGTGTATTGACTAAGGCCATCTTGATGGAGGCAACTGCTAGGTTTGTATGGCGGCTGAATGGCTTTGTTTGATTCTAGCTGGTTATACCGAGCAACATGGGATACATTAGAAATGCGTGTATGTGGATTCAGAGATCCGTAATGATAAGTTTGTTTTAAGGAACATGGGGTATGTACTATTAACGCCAATGAGGAGACCACGCATCAACGTGTCTATATATTCAACTCCTCCCCGGGCCCACTCCACCAGCCCACCAACCAGAGTCAACCCAATATCTATTCTCTGCATTCGCCGTCTCCACCGACCTTACAAGCTTCCTCCGATCAAGGTGCAAGTCTGCATGCCCATTCGTCAACTCGCCCGGCGTACGCCTTCCGCCCTTCTCTTTCCGCGGACTAGCCTGCATATCTTCAGCAGCAATTTCAGTATCAGACGTAGATACTGGTGATGCAGATCGGGGAGTGGAAGAGGTAGGCGAGGGAGTACTGTCAGGAGAGTAAATAGTCGGTATGGCACCCAGAATTCGACCAGCGGCGAAGACGCAACCACCGATTGCGTGTCTGATGAGAGAATCACCAGTAAGACTACCAATTATGAAGACGTCTCTAGCTACCTCGAGGGACGTAGCTTCGGCTTTGGCACGGAATGTTCGGCCTGAGATCAGATGCGCGGAAGATGGGCCGGAACTCATTTGGTCGGGCGAAGTTAGAACCTCAGCGCATAGTTCTTGGGACAGAAAATCCAACGTTCCGCGTCGGCCAACAACATAAGCTAGACCGCCTACTTCGTGGGTGACGGTTTCTCCTGACGGCAGTTGTAGTACTATGGTTGCTACATTTCCGGACACAGATGCGCTGACAACCTCGGCATTGGGCAGGCCTTCGTAGAGCGTCCAGTCGCGTTGGTGAAATGGATTCGACTTGCGCCGTGCAGAAGGAGACTTTGCATTCTTCTTCTTGGATGTAATCGCTGCAAGCTTCATTTGGCGGTAAACGGTTGCATACTCCGGGTACGCGGTGTGGTGACAGCCTCGTAATGGGGACGGCCTCTTTTCGGGAGCCCATTGAAAGACGTGTAGGATCCTACGAGTAGGCGGCGCAGATATGATAACATCGGCCGCAGAGAATCCGGACCCAATAACAAGTAGTGGCGCTTGTTGCGAATCCATCTGTGCGATGGGCGCAAAGTGAAGTGGAGGCGGGATGCTGACTGTAAAGATGCCGGACGCAAGCACGAGATGCTTACACCGAATACCGAGACTCCGGATGGAAAAGCCGCGCACCGTCCGATGCACATTCTCGACCTTCAGCCCCGTGTATATGCTATCGGCTATGCCCACCGCCTCCGGGTATGTCCTTAGGTAGTCGGCAACCTCGACCCTCGAAGGCCGCACGAACTCGGCTTCGTCTCCTCTTCCGCTCTTAGCCAAGTGGTCTGCGTACGAATAGCCAGGGAGGCTCAACTGTTCGGCGTAGCTCAACGTGCCAATGTCTGCGCTTGCAGAGACGGGATGCTCTGCCCATTGCCCGCCTGCATGGGCTGTTTCCCCAATCGCAACATGTGGAATAGCCTTCTCAGGCTCGTACCGCCACTCGATGCAGGACTTGGGGTTCAACTCGGTATCAGCATTGGGTCGAACGAGGGTGTCGAGCAGCGTGTTGACCGGCAGCGCTTGGGTCGAGTAGCGTAGAGAAGACAGGAAATGCGCGTAGAGATCCGGTGTTAGGTGGAGCAGATTGGGTGACTTCTGCAATTTCGCGTCGAGAATCGCGTCATGATGGCCACCGACGTAGTATGGAATATGGCCGTGTAGAATGTAGGAGAGGACGAGCGCTGATGGCCCGTTGCCTGGAATTTGTAATCAGCATCTTGCTTGCGCGCGCATGTTATTCCTGTCACGCACCAATGATCAACGTGTCGACGCATTTTGGAAGCGAGCGAGCCATGGACTTTTGCAGCAGAATGCCATGAGGAAGTCAAAGTCAGCATGGACGGGAGGAAGGGCGGAACGGGGCTGGTCAATAGTGTATGTCTTCAACATGACGGCCTCTTTTAATTCTTCGGCGCTAGAAGCGGTCCCTGTTCCGCCGCGGTGGGGGTCGGGTCTCGCCTTCCACATTCGAGGGGTTGATTGCGAAGATGGTCGGCTCGTCGCTGACCAAGCTAATCGACGTGCCGTGGAATGTTGACGATTCAGGCACTGTGTAGATTGCGTGATCGCTGCAGGTGAGAGACGCGTGAGATGCACGAGGTCATGACATGTCCGCGGGGGCTGCATGAGGTCACAGCCTTGCGCTCAGATGCGGGGCATGGCAAGGTAGAAGAACATTAAACTATAAATCCAAATCATAGTCAACCATGGTATCTCTTCCTAAATATCGCGCTCCAAGCCGCCCTGTAAATTTCGAGTTCCCCGACTCTGCGCAACAAGAAAGTGCATGTACACTTTGTGATTTCAAAGCATCAGCGTCACCCGTTGGGTCCAAATGGAGAAATCGGGCCTGTCAAACGTTACCCCACATCATCCTGTCCGGGTCTGGTCCGCCGCGCGATCCTCCATGGCAAGATTCCTAGTATCTATACGTGACGGTATTACGCTCAGCAACGGGCGAAACGTCGTGAGCCTGTTGCTGAGGCACGTTGAGATCAGGCGTCCGTGGACGTTCAATGCGCGGTCGCATGTGTTCGTCTTCTTCCTGAATCGGTGGTTGCGCGCCATGCATGGTCAAGTTGTTTGCAGAGCTCTCTTGCCGACCCAGATACGACGGAGTTGATTGAAAGCCTGGATGGTAAGGATCTGGTGGGCCACCATAGTCGTTGGCCGGTGACGAGTTCTGGTGCGCTGGAGGTGTGTATGTAGTCGTATAGTGATCAGCGAACGGGTTCTCTTCTTGTGCGCTCGGTTGAGTACGATTTGGTGCGGCCTGCAGTGACGGAGGAAGATTGTTTTCGTCGCCTCCATAGTTGGTAGATGTTGTGCCAGCCGGTTGGCTGGGCTGCATCGTTCCAAAGTTCATGGAGGGTATCGAAGGCGCATCGCTGTGTGTAGGCACACCAGCTGGACTAGTGTTACCATTTGGCGGCGGCGGCGGTGACATGGCGTTTCCATTCTGCACTGGTGGAGATGGCGAGGCACCCATGAATCGACGGGCCTGGAGGATGGCGCGCTGATGCTTGGAAGCAGCGAGGGAGAGCTGCTCGTTGGTTTCGATCAACGTGAGCATAGTATCATCGTCGGGTGCCGGATTGTCGCATGCGATGTAGCCGTGTATGCTACGCTGGGCGGTCGTGCAGCGCTCAGCGAACTCCTTGACCAGTTCGTTACCAAGTAGTTCATTTGCTGGTGTGGACTGAACAAGCTGTAAGAGAAGCTTGGCCGATGTGCGCGCTTCCTCAATGCGACCTGCAAGCTCTGCTGGTGGCGGCAATGTCTTGGACGACGACCTGTGCCCTGAACTGAAGCCGCCCTGTACGTTCTGTGACGCTGACCAAGCTGGCGCATTGAGCTTCCGGGGGCCGAACTGCTTTGCGGCAACAGCCATAAGGCCCTTCTCCTTCTTGTACATGGTGAACAGCGTGTTCAGGTTGGTGTCATATGCCTTTTCTCGCTCCATGGAGTCCAGCGTCTCCTTGACAATCTGCGCTACGCTTGGGTCTTGACCGTTGCGGAGTAGGTACTTGACTGTATCGGCGAACTGCTTGTCGAGGTTCTTGGTGAAAGAAGGGCCCGGATTGTCGGCCAAGATTCTGATGAGCATAACGGCATTATACTGGACATGAGGGCGGGCGTAGTTTTCTTTGGAGAGGAAGATGCGGATCTGTCTGGCGGCGGCTGATGCAGCGCTCGGGCTGGCGACGGCGGACTCGACGATGGTAGGCAGGTGGAGGACTTCTTCGCCCTGGAAAGGTCAGTAGGGCGGCATGATTCTGTGGGCAGATAGCGTACCGAGTTGGCGGCACCAGACTCGCAGAAGAGCATCTGCTCGCTATTAGCTGCTGCGAAGATGCGACGAGGCGGTATAACCTACCACTCCCCTGGTGGCATTGGCCTCAGGCGTGTCAGCATTTGGATCGATATTGACATCCTGGGCTGGATGCGCTGGATGCGTTAGAGTGTACCATATCAAAGTGCATGGGGGGACTCACAAGACCGTTTGCGCATCAAGCTGCCAAAGTTGAGGCGCTTCTTGAGCTCCATGTCTGCTGCTATGGGCGGAGCGGTTCCGCAATGTTAAACGGTCGCAGGAGCGTTTGAAGTGACTGCGCAAAAACAAAGCGCAGAACCGCACGAAACACAAGATGGCTCCGAGTCTGTGAGTCTTGGTGGAAAGGAGAGAGATGGTGGGATCGCGGTATAGATCGAGGCCTCCAGCGCTCCTTCCTCACGCCGACGGTTACCTAGGTAGGGCTGCGCCTCTTGCTGCCAAGCCATGACAACTTCGCGAACACACGTACAGCCAACGTAAACAACCGCGTACAACGTGTGGCGACGCTGCATCCATCGCTGTACTGCACCACCATATCCTTCCCCCACACGGCACCATCTACGCGTCCTGCATGGCGGAGGGTGTGCCAAGATAGCCCATGCCCGGTAGTCTGCTTTTTAATCGGACCCTTTCCGTGCATCCACACTGATTCCACAGCTGCTCAAGACAGTCGTAGCACATGACCGGGTACCTGCTTATGGTGCGCCCGCGTGATACCACGGTTCGTCTTCTCGACCGGTGGCGGCAAGATGCACATGGCGGTTGACTATACACAACCATCAAAGTGTCGTCGTCGTCGTCTTCTTTGTCGCCGAGAGGTGTGACGATGACATAGCCTGAGCACAGTACCGATCTATCCGTGCTAACACTACGCTGCGAGACACGTCAAACGTCACGACCCAGCCTAATTCTTGAGTAATACCCCATCTTCCATCTCACCATGTCCAAAGTCTGGCACAGCCAAGTAAAGGCTTCCGTCAACAGACGGGGTCAGCGACATGTTATTCAGGTTCAAGAATACCATCAACCTGTCACGGGCACCTACAAATATCAGAGACTCACACTGCAGTCGCTTGGCTGTGGTTGCGTGCGTCACTCTGCTCTCATCGGCGCTAGGCAAGCTGCCATTCGCTGACACCACCTGTGACTTTGCCCCCAACCTGTTGGTGTTAGAGACTGCGAGTATCGTCTCTGAGTTGTCCCTACCTATTCGAGGCGATGCGATGCGGCAACAAGGTTCAAGGATCGACGCTTCCTCGGCAAGCGATCATTCCTACAGGATGCCGCAGCTACGGCTTGGCTAGACGTCATTCTTCATGCGCACTTGGTCCATTCGTGACACACCTCGACAGCCACTCACCTTGCCTTGGTCAAGTGCCAGGCACAAAGTATATGACCTCAAACCATGGTCCTCGCCTCCCACCGTCCCGTGCAATACACCCACCTCCTGACCTCACCACTTTCATAGGCACCAGCGTCTTTGTTCAACATCACCTACAAAATGGCGCCCGAACCCGCTTCCGCCATGGCTGGCCAGGCTCGTATGCGTGTCGAAGAAACTGAACAAGAGCACATTACCAGAGAGAACTCGGGTTTTGCCGCATTTGAAGCAGATATGCCTAAACTCGCCAATCGATTCAGCTTTTCCCTCAAGGACAACCTTTCCTCCTACCTTGGTCGCAAGAATCCTTTCTTCACCAACGTAAACCCGGATACCGACTATGTATGGATTCTGGATACGACTGCCTACCAGAATCGCTTAGGAAGGTGGAAGGCGGAACTTGTTGCTGCCTACTTTGTCAAGAATAGCGGCAAGGACATCTCCCAGCTCGTTGCATGGGTCAGCGAGAAAATCGGCCTCGCAGACGACGAACAGGCTAGAGCAACAGTCGCCCAGAGGCTCCAGCCCTTTGCGGACGCAATTCTTCCAGCGCACGCTGTTGAAATTGACCTCAATGGTCTCAAAACCAGATTAGGACCCAGCGGCCGCGACGGCATCAGCTCAGACGAGTTGGCCATTCCCGGAACCGATTACAAGGACGGCCAGGTCAACAAGTTCCAGGCCGTCAATGCTGAGGCGACGTCATTCAATATTACCTTCGCAAAACCCAAGGGATGGGCCGTCCTTTCCGATATCGACGATACAATCAAGAAGACCCTGACATCGTCACCTGTCGGTATCTTGACCACCACCTTCGCAGAGCAGCCAGAGCCGATCAAGGGCATGCCGGAGTTGTATAGGCATATGGCGCAAAAGCTCGACAATCCGCCCTTCTGGTATCTGTCCGCATCCCCATACAACCTCTACCCGTTCTTGCGCAACTTCCGCGAGCAATACTACCCCAACGGTACCATGATCTTACGCGACGCTAGCTGGATGAACTTGGCTGGCTTCCTCGCAAACTTGACGCAAGGTACCCAAGCTTACAAGGTTGACCGCATTGAAAAGGTCCATGGCTGGTTTCCCAAGCGGAAGTTCATCCTTATCGGTGACTCGACCCAAACAGACCCTGAATCGTATGGCGAAGCGTACCGCAAGTTTGGCAAGAGCTGGATCGGTGCTATCTACATTCGTAAGGTAACGGGCGTTGCGGAAATGGACGAAGGCAAAAAGAATTGCCCAGAAAGATTCGAGAAGGCCTTCAAGGGTGTTCCTAAGCAGGTCTGGTACGTCTTTGAGGAAGCACAGGAACTGTACGCCAAGATTGATGCTTTGCCCAAGATCGAGTAAGACGCGAATGCTTCAGTGTATGACGAGCAAGTTTCAGTTTGAAGGATAATCGAGGAGCTTTTGGCGCATCTCGTTTTGCATGGTACCTGGCCAGCTGGCTATTTTGATACATGCAGGGACATACCACGGAGTACGGAGTACAATTTCATTCTTCCCTTTTTCCATAGTCAAACAACGCGATACCCAATATTTTCCCAATCTCGTTTCTCTTGCCTCTTTATCCTGCTAGCCATTGTCTATAACATGTGCTATCATGAACATGTGCATGGCCGGTGATTTCACTGTTTTCTCCACTGCCCTCTTTCGTTTTGCATTGAAGTGCGGCATGTTTGGCAACATTCACATCTTCACAGCACTATCAAACATGAGCAACATATCACAATACCGACACCGTACGTCACAGAGATACTCGGTCACACATGATCCCGATGTCAGAAATTGGAAGCGTACCTATACTGCAGTTCCTACCCTCCGCAATAGTCATACTCCCGCCTGCCTGGTCGCCAAACATGGTAGCCGGTCAACTCCAAGAACCCGAACCAATGCCTCTATACGTTCTTCTCGCTCTCGTTATTGGCATATGTTTCTACTTCTTCTTCATAGGTACCGCTGCAGTCAGGCTTTGGTTCTATAAGGGCGCTCTCGGTCCTGCGCCAGAGAAGTTCCTCGTTGTCAAGATCGAGCATGAGGATGCACAGCAACATGCTCCGATGGTCGACAACCACAGCGGAGCCGGCACACACAACAATGCCATGAAGCACCGACGCATGACTGTCTTCACACATGCCTCATTATCAGCCCTATCGGACGACACCGCTCATACTACCGCGCTCGAACCATATGGTTTCTCACAAGCAACGACGATGGTGAATCTCCAAGATATCGATGAGGAAGAGCTATCCTCATTCACGAATCCTGGGACCCGCGCCTATATAGCAGAAGAATGCCGCTTGTCCCGCATGCCTGCCTTTGACGCAGATGACTGCGGAAACGGCGACTACTTCCCCGACCTCCCTTACACAAACAACCCTATCGAATCTACTTCTGCTTGCTCCGACTATCTCCAACCCTCACAACTACGGCTTAACTCAATGGACCGGCGCGACTGGCTAGCCATTGATGAACACTACATTGAGTACCACGCCGCGCGCACTCACCTCCTGTCGCGCAACCGATCATCTTGTATACACGTCACTCCCGACGGCGAATCCGCGTGTCGCGAGCTGCTGCAAGAAGTTGCCTCCTACCTCGTCGAACAGCACCCTAACAAATTCAGCTTCAAGACTAAACATCGTAGGAAGCATATTCTGAATGAACTGATAAGAGAAGATTTCGATTTAGAAGGTGGATTGGAGGCACATCCATTGGAGGTTGTAGCGAGACTGTGCGGAGAAGATTTTATGATCTGGGAGAGAAGTGAGAGTACTAGGATGTGGTACTTACAAGCCAGTACAGCGCTCTTCCCTTCCGGGTATATCATAACATCCTACATGGGAAGACCAGTCAATGTCATGGTTCGTGGTGATGCAAACGGGAGACCGCCAATGTTGTCTTGGTCCAGTAAGTTTCACATCTTTCCATCGCCCATGTTGGACTGACATTCTCAGCTTTGCCATCCATACTGACCCTCGACCTTCCTACATTATCCCGATATTCCCACACCGGTCCTCTATCCCTCCAACAAATTTTCATTCAAACTCGTCCTCCTCGATGCTCTCTAGCCTCCACACTCCACATTCTCCGGCCCATGGATTTCTTTGCCGGAAACATAGCAAATCTTCACCCTTCTGAGCTACTCGTTCGTACCGAGACGCAAATGTTTGCGCGTCTACCTAAATCGAGTGCTGTGGTTGTAACAACACGGACGAGTACTGAGACGATGAGCGACATGGTTGAAAGAATGAATGTGTGGGAGAAAGAAGCCTTTCTGAAGACAGTGAATGGGTGGGGGCCTGAGGAAGCGAGGTTCAAGGGGAGAGAGTTGTGGATTGGGGTTGTGGAACGGTGTTTGAAAGGTTAGTGTCTAGGCTCTTGTTTTTAATACTAGAGCTTCGATTTTCACGGCTTGCTGACAGGTTTTAACAGGTCAGAGTGCGTTCAGGGATGATATGACGGTTTATAGTAGTAGGCTGTCGGCTATGTGAACAATCAGGTAAGCGATTCAAGAATAATGCAATATGTTAGAAGATTCTGGAGTACAAGCACGAACATTTTGCAATCACACTTAATTGCGCCCAGACGGTGATTATAGCTTTTTAAATACTATGGTGTAGGTGGTGGTGTAAAATACACAGCCACCCGTTCGCTACCGTACAACGACGACAAGGGAGCACGAAAATAGTTTTCCCACATCAATCTACTTCATTATTCTCTAACTCAATTACATTAAGATGGTAAATACTACCTCACTCAGTGTAGTAGCAGCCACGCTCAACGTTGCCAACATACCTACCTTCACACGTATCGTGACTACCACCATGGTTACTCCCACACTCGCTACAGTGATACACAACACTTCGTCGACAAACACCACCCTATTTCCCACCAGCACCACCCCCACAACCCTCGGTAGTCAACAAACTTTCCCATCCGAACACGTTCAAAATACCCAAGGCGACTGTCGCCCTCAAGTCCCAGGCTACGGCCCTGTACCAGAAGAAGACAACGTGTCGTCCTTTTACACGTCTCCATTAATTCGTACTCCCGCTCTAGAGGCTACCACACCCCATGGCTATGCCCTCACCTTTTGTGGGGCGAATGCATCATATGTCGGCACGAACTACCTTGGATATCACGAACTTGAAGCATACAGTCCAATTGAGTGTGCGAGTAGATGTCTCATGTGGGGGAGATCTAGCCTAGACGGCGAGCCAGAGGTTTCATCGACCATTCTGTTCCCAAACGGATTCGACTACTCCGCTACACCTACCAGCACATCCACGTTACGTGCGCAGATGTGCAACAGCTTCAATATCTATTTTGAGCGCTCTCCATCTATCAATCTGGGAGAGGAGTGCCAGGACGCGAATAGTCGCACTATCGTTAAATGTGCACTTTGGGGCGAGGGCAATATGCGCGAAGAGGGTGCGACAAATACAGGCTACAAGAACTGGGAATTCGAAATTGCTGTCGCAGGAAGTAATGGGTATGTTTTGGGTATGGAGAAGGAAAAGAGCAATGAGGTGAATTCAAAGACTTCTGAGGGGGAGAAGAGTGTCAAGATGGATATGGTTGCAGCGTTCATGAAGAGGTTTGTGGTGGGTGCTGCGCTGGCGTTCTTGATAATGGTGCATACGGAATTTTGAGCTTGAACCATACCTAGTTGCTCCTACGTGACTTCTCTATAGTATCCAGAACAGGGAGTGTAGCAAGACTTAACTCATGTCGCCTTGGTTTCCTTGTACATCGTTTGTGTCGCGGAAGTTGCGAACGGTTGAGGTTATGTCCACTCCCTGCCTAGGTTGATATGCTCGGTGGAATACCACAAGGGTATATTGGATCGGTGATGGGTTATCGCAAGTAAATTCATCATTCGCAGAACTGTTTCGAGTTGTCGCTGTTGTAGTCTTGAACTCGCGTCATCTGCATGATTACCAGCCACTACTATAAATATCTTCAATCTCGTCCAAACTTATCCATCATGCTGCGTTAGTCGATAGAAGGGTTAGGACTGTGAAACTTCTACAGCGGCGCTGTTTTAATGCTGACGGGTCAAAAAGAAGCGCGCCAGCGCTTCTTGACTTAGCCATGCTTGCAACGACTACATTGACTAAGAATGCAGAGATAATCTTATCGGAGGTTTCGCTGGAGCTTTGTCAAGGCATTGTAAAAGCAAAAAAAAGGAGGAGACTAAGTCTTTTGTGTGTGCCCACTACCCGAATCGCTTGATTTGAGTCAGTGTCTGGCTCGTACGCAATTCGAACACAGACAAACTTACAACGAGTGATCTTCGCATTACAAGTGCGACGCCTTACCGCTTGGCCAAGCGGGCTTTTTATACGCTAACTGTATGTGTAATTTGATCCAATATGATATATATTGTGCAAACGTTGTGGTAGAGATCGAAAATGCCGAGTTTTGGTCACCTTAGGGGCAAAATCGGCGAATCCAGCCAGGTCCGCAGCGATTGCGGGGCAAGAACAACACCAGTACTTCAACACACTAGTAACGATGCTTATCAGATCCTTACTATGTACTAATTCCAGCTGGGTCGATTAAACATTGTCACTGAGGGTATCAGTGAAATCTTGCTCCTGAGACACTTAATGAAAGTGAAACTTTCAATACACAAATGTCGTGCACAGAACATGCCCTAGAAATGTTCCGGATCAGCGTTGTGTAGCTGTGGATGCTAAATGGTTGTTATCAAAGTTGTTGGTGGTTTCACCGGTTACGAATATGGCTTATGTTGGATCTCGGACCACAAAATTCTGGACAGATACATGATGCTAACTAGCAGAGCAACGACGTCTGTTGTTCAGATGTCTACATCTTCGTCGTTGTATCCCAGAATACCGCATCCTGCTCCACGCGAATTCGCCTAGCCATGGATAAAACACTTCGTAAGAACGACGCCAAGCCCTGCGTATGACTATCATTGAGTTTTTAGCTCTGTTCTTGGTTCTAAGATCGTTGATGATGCGCAATCTATCGTGTCAGATACATGAGTAGCATTGCGAAAGTCGTAAGGCTGTTGGGCGGACTTAGCCAGCACAAGTCTTCGAACATCACCGGACGGTGAACCTCGCCGCTAATAATATTGCTATCGGAAGGGAAGGGAAATGAAACTGTGCCAATGCGCCAACTACCCCACGGTTTGGTAGTGCTGTGTGGCAACGGCTGGGGATACCAAGGTCAGCCTCACCCTTGTCCCGCGGTTCGTTGGAGGGAAAGCTCCGACCACCGCTACATCATCGTAGTAGAGGCCAAGCAACACGTACACCAATACTTTCACCCTACATCCCACTGTCATCTCACAGTCCTTTCCGATGATATATATCACTCGTCCACGTTGACACCTAATCTTCCACAACCGAACCCCTCGACTGAAAATAAAGTTGGTGGCGGAGCCAACATGGCGGATACGGACATCGCATCTCTCACAGCCGACCAGCAAGCCGCGCTTCAACAATACACCGCCGTTACCGACCAAGCAACATCTGATGCGATACCAATACTCCAACGCGCGCAATGGAACGTCAACATAGCGGTGACGCGCTTCTTCGACGGTGAACCGACCGAAGACCCAGTGGCTGCTGCTGCCGCCCAACTACCACCGCCCCAAGACGTCCGCCGACAAGAGACACTACTAAATGGTTTTGCCTCACCGCGATCATCAACAAGCAGTGGGAGGAGAGTGAGGATAGAACCTGCTCCGAGGGTGGTCCCACAGCCAGAAAGCCAAGTCAGTACACAAGTTCCACTAGTATTGGCTATATTCTTTGCGCCATTCTCGCTCGTGTACTCCCTATTTGCAAAATCCTTCCGGTTGTTAGGATGGATCTTTCCCTTCCTCCCGCGCGCATGGGGGAGGGTTACAGCTAGCAACATCAACACACCTGCCTCTCAGCGCAGCGCGAGCGGGCGCCGACCTTTGAACCCACGAGATACAGCGGCGCGTTTCATCCGCGAGTTCGAGGAGGAATATGGAAGTCACAACCTGCCGTTCTTCGAGAGCGGATACGCCCAAGCTTTTGATCTAGCGAAGAAGAACCTACAGTTCTTAATGGTTGTGCTGGTCAGCCCAGAGCATGATGAAACATCATCCTTTGTACGGGATACACTTCTCTCGCCAGAGGTTGTAGAGTTCGTACGAAACCCCGAGAACAACATCATACTTTGGGCTGGCAACGTGCAAGATTCCGAGGCATATCAAGTTTCCGCCGCCCTATCGTGCACCAAATTCCCGTTTACGGGTCTCATCGTACATACACCCCAAGTTTCGTCAACAGCTATGGGGATTGCCGCGCGTGTAGCCGGTCCTACGCCCCCACAACAATACATTGCCAAGCTACGACAGGCAATGCAGCAACACATAGAGCCGCTCAATCGCGTGCGTAGTCAGCGCGCGGAACAACAAGCGACACGAAACATTCGGGAACAACAAAATAGCGCATATGAACGCTCACTCGCAGCTGACCGAGAGAAAGCTCGCAAGAAGAAGGAGGAAGCAGAGCGCAAAGCTCGAGAAGAAAAGGAAGCACTCGAACGCGAACAAGCCATCAAACGATACGCACAAAATCTCGCGCAATGGAGGCAATGGCGCGCTGCATCTATACGCTCTGAGCCCGAGCCCGAGGAAAAGGATATCGTGCGCATCAGTCTTCGTATGCCGAATGCAGAACGCGTGGTTCGCAAGTTCGCCGCAGATGCACAGATCGAGGAACTCTATGCATTCGTCGAATGCTACGATATCCTGCAATCTGAGGAAGGTGTACAGGAGAACATAGAGAAACCAACAGATTTCGAGCATGAGTACAAGTTCCAACTCGTTAGCCCTATGCCGCGCGAGGTATATGAGCTCAAGACTGGTGGTACGATTAAAGAGCGTATCGGACGGAGCGGTAATCTGATTGTTGAGCGGACCGATCTAGAAGATGAAGAGGAAGATGACGAGCAGTAATCGCATGAAGATGAGCATTGGATTGGCGTTACAATATCTACTCGACTTAGCGTGGGACGTGGATATCCACTTAGGTTCTCGATACGACGTTTACGTTGACCATGAATGTAAGAATGTATGTATAACGTTATACATGACTTTCTCTATTTTCAGTGCTTCGATCGTTGCTTGATCCATGTAACCTAGTATATGCTTGCCAAGATCATCGATACCACAGCCACAATTCCGTGTTCCGGATGTTTGAGTCGCACAGCCTACGGCAGCTTCGGGAGCACAGACCATGTTTTAGCGTGGAGGCAGACAGCCCAATTTCGTCACGCATCCTAAGCTTTTGATCGTCCACTGTCATCACGTTCCCCAAACAAACCACCGATATGATCCTCGCAGCGGCAAGATAACATGGAAAGAGCTAAGACTCGCAAGCCTCATAAAAAGTCGCGAAACGGCTGCTTACCATGCAAAGGCCGCCATGTCAAAGTGTGCCTTCCCATTCGGATCTTGAAATCTACATACGACTGACCATCTTCAAGTGCGACGAGCAAAAGCCAAATTGCGCAAACTGCGTAAAGCAAGGCACCGTATGTGAATATCGACCATCCACGGGCCAAGAGAGTCGTGAGGCTTCGAACGTGTCGCCTCTACCAATTGGAACGCCAGCCTTTACGCCATCATCCACAGATGGCACTTCCGGTTTTCTTGACCAACAACCACTACCAGATTTTGGATCCATCACTATCAGTGGCGCTTCCAGTCAACCAGATTTGGCATTGAACATACCCCAATTACGATTGCTCCAGTACGTACTCTCATGTGTGGATGAGTCTCTCAGTACATGACTGTGGTTCCATGGTCTGGTATGATCTCAACAAGCAACAGAACTTGTTTATCGATGTACAAGAAAGAAACCTAGAAACGTAAGCTGATTGCGTGCGTAGTCACTACACAACCGTCACAGCCAAAAGTCTCGCAGCGCATACTGACGCCGAGGACGTATTTACAACTACTTTGATACAGATTGCATTCGATCATCCATATCTTCTCCAAGCGGCTCTTGCACTCAGTGCGTTACACTTGAGCCGAACTGCAGGACCAGAAGAGGCCCAACAATACTCGTACCAAGCTGAGAAATACCATGAAGCGTCTCTGCTCAACTTCCAGACAATGGTTCGCGATATCGATCCTTCGAACTTCAAAGCGGTCCTGTTGTTCGCCGGCACGCTGTTCCCGCATGCGTGTGTCGCTTCACTTGCAATCCACAATGATTTGGATCATGTGTTCGATAGCGTTCTTTCCAATCTCGTCCTGACTCGGAGAATTAGACCCATGGTAACTGGAGTCTATGAACAGATGAAGGAGAGTGAATTAGGTCGTGTGATTCCAGACGACGTCAAGAATATCAATTGGCAGACCGAAGAGCAACCACCCAATACTGAGCTCGTACAGCTCCGCAAGTTTTCCGAGGTCGTCCATCACGTTTACCCTCCCGACATCGTCGATGCATATGGATATGCCTGTCATATCCTCGAGCTTGTATTCCAGGTTGCAGAGAAATCTACGAAGCCGCCTTCCGACGCTTTGTTGAAGATATGGATACATCTTGTCTCGGACCGCTATATCGAGCTCTTA